GAGGATAGTGACCACTTAAGGGAAGGCTACTCTGAACCTGGAGAGAGCAACCATGGCTGGCGTCAGTGAGTGGGGGAGTATGATGCAGACAAGGAAGATTTCACATCATATTGTGAGAGAATGGACTTCTTCTTTCTGGCAAATGAATTAATGGACGACGGTGGGGATGCGGAGAAGAGAAAAGTCCTTGAAAAGAAAAGGAAGGCAATCTTTTTGACAGAGGTAGGAGCTAATGTTTATTATACTCTGGTCAATCTGCTTACTCCAGACAAACCCAAAGACTCCTCACTGATTCAGATTACCAAGATTCTGAAGCAACATTTTGATCCTGCTCCACTTGAGATCGCTGAAAGTTACAGATTTGGCACCAGAGATAGAGGTAAAGATGAATCAGTAAGTAATTATATAGTAGCTTTGAAGAAGTTATCCATTCACTGTAACTTTGGACAGTTCTTGAACCGAGCTCTAAGAGACAGGTTTGTAATAGGCCTGAATTATGAAAAAATACAGAATAAGTTAATGAACACCACTAACTTAACTTTTGAAAGTGCATGTCAGATAGCTACAAGCATGGAATTGGCCGAGAAAAACACCAGAGAATTTGTTCCCAATGCTGGTAGTGAAACAGTTGGCAGTAGTGGCTCAGTGTGTAAAGTAACTGTAGCCAAAAGGAATAAGTATGCCACAAAACAAGGAACACATGCTGATTTAAAATGTAAGAGGTGCCGAGGGAAACATGAAAGCTTTCAGTGTAAGTTCAAGAATTCAAAATGTTACAATTGTCAACGTATTGGACATATTGCTCCTGCCTGTAGAAGTGATAGAGGTAGAGTATATGCAGTTGAAGGTGGAGAGAAGGAAATGAAAAACAGTATTCATGAGAGTGTTAGTAATTTTGGATCTGATAGTGATGAGAGTGCCCATGTGTTTACTATTTACACCAGTCGTGAAGAGAAAGTTAAACATAGGTATAATGTGGACTTGTGTATTAATGACACACCTGTAACCATGGAAATGGATACTGCAGCTGATTTCTCCATAATGAGTAAAGATATGTATGAGAAACTATTTGCGCATGTGCCTTTAGAAGACTCAGGTGTCAAGTTGAGAACTTATACTGGAGAGATTTTGAACACAGAAGGTAAATTAGAGTGTGAGGTAAAGTACAAAAATCAGAATTTAAAGTTGCCATTAATTATAGCTAGTTATGTGAATAGACCAACTTTGTTAGGTAAGAACTGGTTGTGTGAACTTGAGATGGACTGGAAGGAGATATTTAGTGTTAGAATGTGTAACAGTATTCCAGGTCTTGAGAAATTGCTTGAAAAATACAAGATTTTATTTGTAAAGGGACAGGATGGTATAAAGGGTTATGAAGCTCATATCACCATTGACAAAGATGTTACACCCATATATGCTAAGTCCAGACCTGTTCCTTATGCATTGAAAGGTGAGGTTGAGAAGGAATTAGACAGACTTGTGAGTGAGGGAATTATTGTGAAAACCGCCAAGAGCAATTGGGCTGCTCCAATAGTAATTGTACCTAAAGCTGATAAATCTGTTAGACTATGTGGTGATTATAAAGTTACCATTAACCAAGCTGTTGAGGATGAGCAATATCCCTTACCCACATCTCAAGATTTGTTTGCTGCACTAACAGGTGGAACCATTTTCACTAAGTTAGACTTGTCCCAAGCATATGCTCAGGTCTCTGTTGATGCTGAAAGTCAACAGTACCTTACCATCAACACTCATAAAGGATTGTATAAGTTCAAAAGGTTGCCTTATGGTGTTAAAAGTGCACCAAAGTTATTTCAGTGCATCATGGACAAAATTCTTGTGGGTCTTCCCAATGTGTTATGTTTTCAGGATGATGTCCTTATTGTTGACAGTGACATCCAAAATCATGTCAAAACCCTAGCCACAGTATTCGAAAGATTGTTGGCACACAATGTCAGGCTCAACAAGAGCAAATGTTCATTCCTAGCTAAAGAAGTAACTTATCTTGGCTACAAAGTGAATGCAGAAGGGCTGAGACCTGTAGAAGATAAAGTAGGAGCCATAGTAAATTTACCTGCTCCAAAAAATGTCAGTGAATTGAAAGCTTTCCTAGGTATGATACAGTATTATTCAAGGTTCTTGAGTGGACTTTCATCAGTTTTAGCCCCTCTGCATGAACTATTAAAGAAAGGGATACCATGGAAATGGAACAGTGCAACTCAGAAGTCATTTGAAGATTGTAAAGCTGCTCTGTCTAGTACTGATGTTTTGGTCCACTATGATACCAGTAGAACACTAAAGCTTGCTTGTGATGCATCGGGCTATGGATTAGGTGCTGTCATAAGTCACATAATGGATAACGGTGAAGAAAGACCCATTGCATATGCCTCGAGAACTCTTACCCAAAGCGAGAAAAATTATGCACAAATAGAGAAAGAGGCTTTGTCTATCATATTTGGAGTAAAGAAATTTCACCAGTATCTATATGGGAGGAATTTTGTTTTAATAACTGATCACAAGCCTCTCTTGGCAATTTTGGGTCCTAAATCACCTGTTCCTACACTTGCTGCAGCAAGAATGCAGAGATGGGCTTTGATATTGTCGGCATATGACTATGAGATACAGTACAGACGTTCAGATGATCATTCCAATGCAGATGCTTTGTCAAGGTTGCCAGGTAGTGGATCAAATGATGGAGTAGAGCCTAAGGTTTATGCTGTAACCATGATAGCAGAAGATTTTCCAGTCACCTCCGGAATGATTGCTCATGAAACTAGGAAAGATGTTGTATTAGGAAGAGTCCTGGAGTATACACTAAATGGATGGCCAGAGATTTGTCCATCCTTAGACTTTCAACCGTATCATTTAAGGAGATGTCAATTATCAGTAGAACAGGGATGTGTGTTGTGGGGTATGAGGGTGTTAATTCCACAGTGTTTTAGAGGGCAAATTTTGAAGGAACTGCATTTTGAACATCCAGGTATATGTGCTATGAAAGCACTGGCCAGAAGTTTTATGTGGTGGCCTAAACTGGATGGTGAAATAGATATGATGGTACGTGAGTGCTCTGTTTGTCAGAATGTTAGGAGTATGCCACCCAGCACACCTTTGAAAACCTGGAAATGGCCTACCCGTCCCTTCCAAAGAGTACACATTGACTTCTGTGATAAGGGAACAGACAAATTTCTTGTATTAATTGATAGTCATTCAAAGTGGATTGATGTTAAGCACATGTACAGTACTAATGCTGGTAGCACCATTGATGAATTAAGATTAATGTTTGCCGAACATGGAATACCAGAAGAGGTAGTTTCTGACAATGGTCCTCCATTCCAATCATCAGAGTTTAAAAACTTCATGAGATTCAACGGTGTAAAGCATGTACTGACCCCACCCTATCATCCTGCCTCTAATGGTGCAGCTGAGAGATCAGTTAGAATTGTAAAGGAAGCACTTTCCAAGCAGGTAATTCAAGGAACTGTAGGAAAATCAATGAAACACAGACTAGCAAATTTCTTACTCAGATACAGAACCACGCCACATAGTGTGACAGGATGTACTCCTGCAGAGTTAATGGTGAAGAGACAGTTGAGAACAAGATTAAGTTTAGTTAAGCCAAGTCTGTTTGAAGTTGTAGAGAGGAAACAAGCTCAACAAAAAATGTATCATGATAAGAGTTCCAGTGAAAGAGTGTTCAAGGTAAATGATAGGGTGAGAGTTAGGAACATGGCTAAAGGTTATGGTACTGTACATGCAAAGTGGATAACTGGTGTCATTGACAAGGTATGTGGATCTAGGACATATTTAGTGAAATGTGGTAACTCTTTGAGATATGTTCATGTGGATCACATCATTCAGGCACATGACGAGATGAATGTAGCACCAGGACATGATGATAAACTTGACACAGTTTCAGATGATCATCATCATGATGATGTCAAAGATGATGTTTCCCAGCATCCACTCACTGTGTCAACTGATTGTAGTGATGATATGTCTGTCACTGATAATGCACAGAGTGCAAGTGAAACCCCTGTAAAACTTGATGGAGGGAATAGTCCTAGAAGATCAAACAGAGTTAGGAGACCTGTAATTAAATTAGACCTCTAATTATCTGAATTGTGAACAGGCCTTTCAAAACTGTTTAGTTAGGAAGTTATATTTGTTGTGTTCTATTCCCTTCTTCCCTGCCATATGTAATTCTGTAAGTTTTGTTTATTTAGGATTTGTAGCAGCCATGCTCTCTTTTGAAAGGGAGAAATAGTGTTATATATATGTATGTTTATATGCTGCCTTTATTGAATATATATATTATATATTATGTTACTTCTTACCAAAGTCAGAAAGTGTTTACGCTTGTGTAAACACGAAATGTGTTAGGCACATTGTAACCAAGAACAAAGAATAAACGCCCAGCCAGACCGACCTTGTGCTTGTCATTCTCCCATTAAATAACGCAAGATACTACACCCACAATCTACCTTTTCGGCCGCCAGACAACCTCGTTCGAGTTACTTTGTGTGAAGAATACGTAATCTTATACTCCCATACCGACTTCAATGGTTTGTTTGTGTAAACATAGCAGCCTCTTTCATAATTAGTGCTCAGATGAATTGTGTGTGAAGTTCAGCGCATATCAGCTTCCAGACAAAGCATTGTTTACTGCACAAAATAATAACAGGGTATTGTCCTGACTTCAGAACAGGATTAATGCGGAGTTAATCTAATTCTCAACTCCTCAGCAGCAGGAACCTTGTGGCACCAACCCAGGGAAGAGCACATCTCCTGCAGGATCACCTTTACTATACATCAAGACAAACCAAACACAACATACACCTGTAAGCTGAGGTATTGTGTTACCTGTAAGCTGAGGTATTGTGTTACCTGTAAGCTGAGGTATTGTTACCTGTAAGATGAGGCATCGTGTTACCTGTAAGATGAGGTTTTGTTACCTGTAAGCTGAGGTATTGTGTTACCTGTAAGCTGAGGTATTGTGTTACCTGTAAGCTGAGGTGAGGCGGGATAGAGGATGTCTCACTATGATTGCCTCCACGTTACGTTGGCCGCCAGGAACAATGTTTTCAACTTTCGGCTTTACATTTTTCTTCCAAGATGATGACCCAACCTGAAATATTAATAGTAAATAATAATAATATTAATAATAGTAACGACAACAACAATGATGATGACAATGACGATGATGACAACAACACAACAAAATACTTTAACAATGTGTTAAGAGTAAATTGTCATGTTTTAGAGAAAATATGTCTGAAGATTCAATTGTGAAACAAAGGACCTTGCCCACCCTCCACCCCCCCCACCACCCCACCCCCCCCCTTCCCACCCCAGTCAAAGCTGACAGGGCCCTGAGGCTGCCTTAGGCACAATCCAATCACAGTGTGACGGCCGTACTTGCTGCCGGGTGTGACGGCCTGGCACCCAGGTTGTCCTGGGAGGTCGCCTCCACCCACAATAGCGGTCCCACTCAGTGATGCCAATGCGGCCGGATCGCCTACACCACCTGAAGTCAACAGCCACAGTGACTCTCCTTTGTTAGCCAATGCAGGTCAGGATAAAGCCTGCCAAGTAAGTGTACTGTACCAGTGAACAATGACAGTGATAGTGTTAGTGGAGCTTCTGAAGGAGCTCGTGCCTCCTCTCATAATGATGCCAACTTGAGGGTGAGCAGCCAGAGCGAGACCGGTAGTGATGGAAGCATGGATGGGGAGGATGAGCCCCAGACTGCCAGCGTGATCTCTTTAATAACCCCAGGTCTGAAAACTGTCCATAACCCTGTACTTCTTCCAATATTTACGGAGGAGGAACTCGCAGGACTAATGAAGGAACCTGTGTATAAAAATCCTCCTGGAATAAGGGCCTTGAGGCGCATTATCAAGAACTCCAGGGGTGAAAAATTTGAAATGGTTAACTTATTGGTCGGGTTGATCTATGAAGCCAACACTCGACTCTCTATACTACTGTAAGTTCAAGGTGGAACGAGTAACACGAACAATAAGGTTCATTTCATGGAACATCCGGAGTGTTAACTGCAGAATTAATGACCTACAATGGTCTGTTAAAGTTTTTAACATTGATGTAATTGGTTTACAAGAACCTTACACGTCCAGCACTCAGAAGAAAGCTGCACCCAGGATAGCTGGGTTTACAGCATATAATAGTGGAGCAGGAAGTGGCCTGCTCACTTATGTAAAGAATGGTCTGGTCTGTAAATGGATCAAAACTCACAATGATGAAAGTATTCACTATCAACAATTTACAGTGTCATGGTCACGTTGACTGCTAGTCTGTTTTAACTAATGATTCTTATTATACTCCACGACCGCAAAACATGAGTGGGTAGCTGGTTAGCTATCCCCTAGAAGAAGCGTGTTTTTCCTATTCGATGTTTACAGTCATTGTCCCTCCCAGTAAGTCCCGCCATCAAACACAGTTGTCAATGTGTTTATTCCACTTCTCCTAGCAAACTCAATCTTGAATTAGTTTATGTAAATCAACTTTAGTAATTCGCCCGACCTTTGTCAACTGAGGGTCATCCTTGCATGTGTAACAGTTGGGTTGTATGTAATTTCTGTCATTGTGTGAGTAGCGATCACTGGCAACTCAGGGGTATATATACCAAGGCGGAAAGGAGAGACGTCCTCCTGTGACGCTCTCCCGTTTGTCTCCAGGTATGTACTGTAGATGTGTTCCCTAACCATTCAGTTTGATTCAGTCATTGTAATGAATTATCAGTGTTCATGTTGTAACAGTGGAATTGTCATTCACCCAGTGTGAGAAGTAATATAAAGTAAATGTCGTCTGACTTTGCGAGATGAAGGATTTGTTGTGATTGTGTTGTCATCATGCTTCCCACTCCCGTGAAGCTCTCCCGTTTGTCTCCAGATTCCAGGGTGGGCTTATTCGAACACTCCATCGGCTGCTGAGCCAGTGGGTAACCAGCAGGGATCAATATATGCATTGATGTCGGTGATTCAACATGATTGAGATGGCAGGTCCGCCTCATGAGCTAGACCCCAGACTCGCCATGTGTCTGGCTACCACCGACCACAACAGCAGCCGTCAGTTGTTAGAGGCGCCAGTGTCATACCCTGGGACATGCCTTGGAGTTATGGTCCACAGTGTGGTTGTATGTGTTTGGAAATAATTATCCCATGTTGGGTAGTGGACCCATGTATTTGTTGGTATCAGTATTAACGTGTTGTGTGTGAGTGGATCTCCTATGCACTACCAACAGTCTGTGAAGTATCACATGCCAGTTTGTCTTATAACTGGATGTAATGAAAGTACCTAGTAATACTATGAATAAAGCCTAGTAACTGTAATGAAATGTACTACTGGAAAATGTGGGTGAAATAAGTACCCACTGGGATTGGCAGTTGGGAGGAGCCAAGGAGTTGTCATGTAACTATGTATTGTGAGTAGGGCCAAGGAACTGGTCCTGCTATGTAATGTAACGTAACACCAGTAAGGGTGTGAGTAAATAAGAAAATAAGAAATACTGAGTTTGCAGTTAAGTAAGCGAGGAGTTGCACCTTGAAGTTATATATTAATAATATCTCTCTTCCCTTTGATTTCATATTAATAAACCTGTTCTTAGAGTATTTTAAGAGTATTCATTTTCCCACAGTAGTTCACCGTTATTTCCGTCCAAGTGACCCTGATATCAGAATTACAATACCCATGTGCCTTAGACCCTCGACATGCTGCCAAAAGAACTAAGGTTATGCAGTAGCCATTGAAGTAAGTAGAAAGAACAATTGAAGTAAAGAACTAAGACAAGAGAAGTAAGAGTATAAGATAAGGGCAGAGTGTGAGTAGAGAGAAAAAGCCGCCGTTACATTGGTGGCAGCTTGTTTATTATGCCCACTGTTACAACAGTAAAGACAGCAAACAGTCAATTTTTGCTGTATAACATCTATGTTCATTGTAATGAGCTGCGAGCGGATGTGTTACCAAAGCCATCAGGTAACAATGCTATGCTGTGTATGGGTGACTTTAACTCTCGTCACACTGTCCTCGGTGATGTCCAGTGTAATTCTAATGGGATGGTGTTCGTGAATTACATCAATAATCATAATATCACTGTATACGACACAGACAAAGTGACACATCTGATGGGGGGCAGACTTGATTGGGTATAACCGAGTAGACAGTAATGTCAAGGCTAAGGTCATCTCAGACCACCTAGTCAGTGATCATTATGCAATACTTACTGAATACACTGTTGCTGATGTTAAATGTGAACCCCATCCTAAGCTCAGAATTAACATCCCAGATAATCTTAAACTGCACTTCAAGGCCTGCATCCACATATGGTATGCTGGATATACACCTGGGTCAGTGGATGAATTTTTCTGTGATATTGTAAATGTCATTACCACATATTATGCCACCTGGGTTAAGTCAACGAGGAAGGGGGGCAGCACTAAACCACCTCTGTGGACACATGACCCCATCCTCACCAAGAAGGAGAGAAGGTAGAACAGCTTGCCAACACTTATAAGCAAAAAAAAAAATACTGATAACCTCCTGGCATTCCTCAAAGCTAACAGAGAATTTTGTGAACTCAAAAGTCAGGTGAGAAACAGCTATTGGGAACAATTCTTACAGGGGATTAGTAGAACAACCACTAGCAGAATGTGGAACAAAATTAGAGCCATTACCAAGTCACTCACCCCAGTCAAACTTCATCACAGCCCTGCAGAATATGCTGACATGCTATTAGACCAATGGTCTAGTGTGTCACAAATCACTTCCCTGCCTCCTGACATACAGCAATATCTTAAAACCACACACATTAATAGGGGTTTCAATATTTAAATAGCCTGTTCCTCACCAAACCTTACCGACCAGTTTCCTATAACGCACCACGAACTAACAACAGCACTAATGAAAGGTGAGTCATCCTCCCCTGGTGAGGATGGCATAACCTATAACACCGAGATTGTTGAATGAGATCCCTAACCATCCACTGCTTGACCTGTATCAAATGAGCCTCACACAGGGTATTCTGCCTAAGACATGGACTCATGGAAACATAGTACCAATCCCTAAAGCTAATTCTCCAAACTTCAGGCCAATTTCACCCACATCCTGTATGTGTAAAGTCCTTGAAAGAGTTGTTCTCAACCGTCTCATGTTTCATGTCAAAGACAAACTGGCCCCTAATCTGTACGGGTTCATGCCCGGGCGTAGCACACAGACATGCTTTGGAGAATATCTTGTTCACTCAAAAGATAAGACACAAACAGCCTTCATAGACCTTAAATCAGCCTTTGATGTAGCTAATAGAGACATTATACTTGAGCAACTAGCTAATTTTGGCATCCAAGGTAACCTCCTGACATGGATAAAGGGTTATCTGTCCAACAGGTATGCCAGTGTTCTGTTTACGGGAGTCAAAAGTGCCAGAATGAGATCATTTGAGCTTGGCATGCCTCAGGGAGGAGTGTTAAGTTCTATGCTCTTTAATAAACTGATGCACAAGCTTATTTCTGACATTCCAGTTCAGCCAAACGAGGCTGTAATATGCTATACAGATGATATCTGCATTATGACAGACCAAGCTCAGGTTCCAAGCCTTGCTGGATGTATTTGCTCGGTGGACTGTGGTCTCATAATATCTGTTGACAAGACGAGGGTCCTCAATCCTCGTCCTGCTCACCCTCTGCCTCTTGACTATAACATTAACAGCATGCCCTTGGAACTATGTAGCTCATATAAATATCTTGGAATTTGTGTGAATGATGCAAACTTTGCCGGCAACCTTCGTGCCAAGCTAATTCAGGGCATTGAACCCCTCAGAACCCTTGTTGGCAAGGGCTATGGAATTAACATCACCTATGCTCGTACTTTCTATCTTCACTTCATTCGTTCTGTAGTTGACTATCATGCTCTCCATCTTGTGACTATTCCTATTCTGCCTAAGCAACTCCACAGCCTTGAGGTAGTGCAAAATGAAGCCATGAGCATCATTCTAGGATGCCCAAAATCAACCAGAATTGTAAACATGAGGAAAGAGCTCGGACTGCCCTCCCTATCTGAGAGGATAGCTCTACTTAATACCATGTTTTGTGTCAAAGTTTTGAAGAACAATGGTCCCCAAATTAAAGCTCAAACTGAGTTGATGTTCTATCTAAGTAATCCCGACTATCTCGCTAACCTTCCACAAAAGAAGCTTTGGGGCGTGGCTTCAGAAAAGTGTTGCAGATCTCTTGAAACTGAATGTCCCAATCACCCCAGACGAACCCATTAATGCCATTCCTCCTTGGCTCCATATATCAGTTCCTATTAATTACACTCCTGTTGGTAGTAAGCAAATGTTAAACACCGATGTGGTGAGATGTGTCACACTAGAAACTATTAACAGACACATAGAGAGTATTAAATCAAGTGAATGTTATGCTTTTACTGATGGTTCTGTGCAGACAAACACAGGTAGATCAGGCTGTGCAATTGTAATATATAAAGAAAAAGAGGTGATAGTGCCAAACAAGCAAAGGCTGAACAAGTGGGCCAGCACAACACAAACTGAACTAACTGGAATCTACTTAGCCACAGACTACCTTTCAAGAAAATGGAGGTGGGTGATATTCTGTGACTCTCAAAGTGCTTTGAAATCAATGAACAGCCCGACAGGTTCTATGTCTAAAGTTGTATGTGATATTAAAAGAAATGTGATAACTGCCAATGGAAACAACTTTCAAATCGAATTTGTGTGGATTCCGTCCCATGTTGGAATTGGGTATCATGACCATGCTGATAGACTGGCCAATGAGGCATGTAAGAAAGAAAATGTTGACCGTGACCTTGGCCTGTCCAATGCTGTACTCAAAAACATTAAAGTCAGAATCGTGAACTCTGATCTAGAAGAACTGAGAAATGCAGAGACCTGGCAGTTGTAGCATTAGTAAATATGACAAATTTTGTGACGAGAGGTACCGGTATGGCCAGCATAAGGACAGAACCAGACAATGTGATGTAGTCGTGGCCAGAATTAGGCTAGGATACAGACACATCTGGCAAGTTAGTAACGCTGTACCCATACCGGAACACTCAACATGTAAACTTTGTGATAAACCTTTAAAGCATACACTTGAACACTATATTATTGAATGTGACACTGTCAAAGACTTGAGACCACCTGGCTTATTGTATCATGAACTTTGTAATCACTATACTGAATCGGGGGTGCTTGGGGACATTCTTGCTGTTTATCCCAAATTTGCTAGCCCACACTGATTAGCCTTCAATTAAAATATGACGTCCAATGCATATGAACCACTGTCTTGCATGGCAGGATTGACAGTGAACAGTGACATCACTCACATGACTTTGACCTATATACACTGCTAATGAATATGAAGCATTTCTTTGTATATGAATATACTGCGCACATCATTGTCATTCCTAAAAAAAACATAATTCATATTACGCTATATAACATTCAAATCCACCGCGCTTGTAGAATCTCAGAAAACGGGAATCATTGATAAAGGATAACTCACCTACTCAATGTTACTGAATCATGTGTTGTATTGTACCCAGGTATGGTTATATAATATTAATTGTATGTATTCATAGCATTAAGGAGAACTCAGGGTATCCATAAGATGATTGGGAAAGTCCAGTTGAGCCGGACTAGTGTACTGTAGGACTAAGTGTGGATCAGGGTTTGAAGGTCATACTATTTACGTCTGTGAGCGTGTAGCGAACATAACTTCCACAAATATCATATGAAAATACATGAGAACAATGATCTGGAAAAAGGATAAATGTATCAGAACTATGTGAGGTGTTGGAAGTGACCCAGAAACTATACTTGAAAGGAAATATCTTGTATGCATCGGTGTGAACTTAATACACCTCGTATCCTCACGTGACGTATACCCACGACATGTACAGTGATCAGAGAATCTTATGACTGTGTTCAAATAGATCAATGTGTGAGAGGAGGATCCCTAATTACAGTTTTAAGTGAAGTGGATATACCCACGCCATGAACATTCGGCCTTTGTTTTAAGGGAGCGTCCTGTACCCGCCTCGAGTGTGCCGCGTTGATATTATAACCCAATGAATTTACCCACGAACTAGCAAACCAGAACCTTACCTTAGTGTGTAATTTAGGATTAAAATATGTGTTTATAAGGCATGAGTGACAATATACCGGAAAGTGTTCAGGTGAGAACCGTAAGAAATAAAAGTAAAAATTAAAGATTGGAAACTGTAGGCCTATGCGGTGACGAGCGGCAGGGCACTGCCCTCAGTACCCTCCGTTCTACCGTCACCTCAGGTCAGTGTCCTATCGGGCTATATCCCGCCCTATAATTAAGGCTTATATAGAAGTTATTACAGTTTAAAGCTTTGCCTGATGTATAAGTGTAATAGTAATGTGTTAGGGGGTGTGATAACCGCCCGTCAGGCATTATTTCTCAGTACCCTCCGTTCTACCGTCACCTCAGGTCCCATGCGGTCGGAGTGCCTTGCTGGGCAGCCGGCCCTGTGAGCGTCCCACCAGGTGGTGACTACTCCCAGCTATGCCAATCCACTGTGAACCTGTGGATTCCCAGCACACCACTCCAAATGAGTAGTAACAAATAAGGAGACCGTGAGAAACTCCGCGGTCGTCACTTGGAGCGACCTATAATACCAGGCGTAGAAATAGTACTGGTATGTCTCTGGGTGAAGCCCTCGTCTTTACCCACCGAGGACGGTGTGCGAACGAGGTGCCTGTTGTGTATACCTAAAAGTTACAAGGAGTCCCATACCTGCAGGTGTGGAGTGTAACAGGTGTGTTGAGATGGTGCTACTATGTATGATAACCGACGGTGCTATATTCCATACAGGTGGAGCAGTCTGATGTGTTAAGGGGTAGTGTAAGAAGGAATGACCGAGGTAAGGAGGTCACAGATTGTTATGCAATAAGTAGGTGGATGACACGCCATTAATGTAAGACGTCTGGTGCCCGTCTGGGTAACCAACATTTTCGTTGTTCTTCTGAGGAAGACCAATTCATTTGTATGTTTTTTACCAGTATGCTTTATAAGGAATAAATTAATTAAGACATGTTATGGTTTCACCCTTCTTTCCCCTTATCGATCTGGTCAATGAAAAACCTAACCCAATGCCTAGTCCACTCTGCACGCTACCTAACGAGTTACGTACTGTCCAGAGGGGGTCTGGTGGCAGCGACCCTTAGAAATTAAGATTAGAGTTAAGTATTCCCCCTTAGAATTAGCGACCCCAGTCTAGCAGTATACGAACCTCTGTCCTGCATGGCAGTGAACAGTGACATTACCCACATGAATCTGACCTATATATACTGTCAATGAATATGATGTATCTCTTTGTGTATGAACCTCTGTCCTGCGTGGCAGTGAGAAGTGACACCACCCTCAGTGTCAAGACCTGACTGAATGACTCAGAATAGGCAAACTGTACTCCAAGCTTTGTCAATAAATTTGTTAAACTAAACACAAGCAATCCCCCACCTCCCTCAACCACAGGCCAACCGCCTCCTCCCTCACCCATCCCCTTCACCTACCGGAAGAAAGAATAAGAAAAGAGAATTAAAGAATGAAGAAAGAGTAAAAGAAGGTAATAAATAGAAATAAAAGATAAAATAAAGGAAACAATACCACATTTAGTACACCAACAATAACAATAACAATATGATCGCTAAAATAGTCCTTAAGTATTTGTTAATGTTCAGAGTTCTCCAACACACAGTAAAACTCAACCTCAGCCTTCTTTTCTACCCTTAAATTATTTCAAAGATTTGTGCAACACATAAGTACCGACTGCTTCCGAACCATCCCCCGTGAGTCCTGTGTTTATATTAGATGGCAGTGTAGTGGATTGAGCCTGGACAAATACTTCCTAACATCTGACCTGCTCTATGTACTGTACTGTACCCGAGTCACAGTGATGAGAGGCAAGCGTTCTGCAACACCCAATTACAGTGCCACCTGATTAAAGTAATATCCATTCTATCTCCTTCGCTTTTTTAATACATTTCTTAGTTACTTTACCTACTCAATAAGGATTCCTAATAACTCCACACATTAAAAGCCGCAGATATAACACAAACAAGTTCCGCTTTAACCAGAACTGTACACACATCCAGAGGTAGATAAAATATGAAGAATTTTATTACCTTATTTGGTACACACATACGCAGGTGTTCTGGTACGTTAACTTCATTTCCCCTGCGCCAATACGATGGTGGGAAGGACGACTTGGTGATGTTCAGCCGCTGACACTCGCGGAGGAGGTGGGCGTGGCGCTGGTGGAACTCCTGTTGGAGCTCCGCAGACTCACCATCTATTGCTGTCTTCCCGTCATTTGGCGTCTTGGTGTGTTCTTGTACGTCACTTAGGAAAGTTTCCATGGCCGGGGTTGACCGTCTGTGGTCACCTGCCACAAGTGGTGTTGACGCTTCCTTCTCAGCAACACTAAATATATTGACCTTCCCGACCTGCGGTACAGGAATAATAAAGCTATCGGGGACGTGAGAACTGTGTATGTCATTTAGTTAGTCCTGCAGCCACTGTATATATTTTCAGTCATAAAGCTAGACATTGTTTCTCAGGGAGGTAGACAATGCGATCTAGGCAATTAAACATTATCATTGATACAATTACACATTGATATACATGCAAATGAATGTAGTGAGTCATGCAGTTAAACATTGTTAGTTGTGCAAGTTTAGTTTATTAGCCAGGAGGATACAGGATTAATGGTGACATTCTCCACAACAGAAACAAGCATTACCTGTCTACAGCGAGTTACACACCTCCTAGTAGCCAGTGACAGATGGACCATGAAACAAGCATTACCTGTCTACAGCGAGTTACATGGCGCCTAGTAGCCAGTGACAGATGGACCATGAAACAAGCATTACCTGTCTACAGCGAGTTACATGGCGCCTAGTAGCCAGTGACAGATGGACCACGAAACAAGCATTACCTGTCTACAGCGAGTTCCATGACGCCTAGTAGCCAGTGACAGATGGACCACGAAACAAGCATTACCTGTCTACAGCGAGTTACACACCGCCTAGTAGCCAGTGACAGATGGACCACGAAACAAGCATTACCAGTCTGGACGACCACATGCAGGACGCCCACACCCTGAGCGACGTACAACCACACCCTGGACGACCACACAATACTTACACTGCCGGGAGCCTCGTCCACGACCATCCACAGCAGCACAACAAAGCTCACCAGTGCTGCTGTCCTGAGTGTGAGCCTCCCAGGGTACACGCAGTAAGGACCGCCCATGTCTCAACCTGTAGTACAGGTAGATGTATGGTTCAAGTACAGTTACAGAAACAGACACAGGTAGATGGGGGCAGGTACAAC